AAAAAAGGGTACATAGTAAGTGTGCAATTAGCCACGTAGCTTATATGACATAATTTCATTAGCCCCACATGCTCTTATAATAAAGAAAGGACTCTGGTGATCTGCTTTTTGCTGAAATTTTTGATAAATTACCATAAGAATATACGTCCATCTTGATTTTAGTTTGATTAAATGTAAAGAGCATAGGTATTTTAATAACAAGGGAAAATTGATTGAATTAAAAGAGGATAAAAGTGTTTAAATCCATACAACACATGGACATACCAGGACCACCTACATCCTTGCACTGCAAATGAGGCCGAGCTATGGGCACTTAAATCTGGTTCGATTAGGCTGAGCGCTCAACATTCGAGAATCATTATCGGAGGAGACTTGACTAATATCATTGATACGTTGGCCTTGGAGGCAAATAAGGGATGAGTTTCTTTACAATCTCTAATAGAGAGAAGTATGCTTCAATCACATCAATAGAAAATAAAATGACGATGTGGATTCCCTTACGAGAGTAGCTACATATGTGATGATTTAGGAGCACTTCTTGCCCCTTTGTTCTTTTTCTTTCTACCTTTCCCTTTCATTGTTATTGTACTTTTTTTTCTTTTATGTATTAAAAGTTTCCACTTGATGTATTTTTTCATAATCTCAATGAAAATTTGTTAACATTCCCTCCAAAAAAAAAAAAAGGGGTTAGTGGTGATCAAGAAGGAAGAGAGCTTCCAATGTGTTGGAGGACGGGGAAGAAAAAACGTCTCACATTTTGGATTGTAGGTGGTTGGAGAGAACCAAAATTTTACATTCGAAAACATTCAAGTCCCACATGAATTTTTCGAATAAGGTTTATGGCTTAGGTAGCAAACTTTTAAGATTTCCATCGAAGAGAATTAGTTGCCCAGCTCCATTTTAGAGGGTGATTAAAAAATATGCTGCTTAGGATAGGCCACAAAGTTTTTAAGCTATTGATCTAAAAAAACCTAAATGATGTCCAGCTTAGAGCCCCATTTTAGATGGTGTCAACCTTTATACTATCGAAGTAAGGTGCACCTCAGATATTCTCTTGAAAAGAGTCCTCCGATGTTGGAAAATCCATTTTCCAATTTTATCATCTCGACTTCAAGATATATGAATATGAAGAAGAAAATAAATTCAAATCTTAAAAATAGTATATATTGTAAACAAACTATGTGGACCAATTATTTTCAAGCTTTTCAAGTGCTTATAAAGAAATATTTTTTAAATTTTAAATTTAACAACTAGAGACAAAAGTAGATTTTTAGGCCATTATAAGATTTCCAACCACATTACTACATCTCCAAACAAAACTTAAAGGTGTGCCTTTCTTCTACATTCTAAGGAGGGCACCTTATACAAATCTCACCCTTGCAAAATACACTAGATTTGGGTAGATAGCATAAGTTGTTAAGCTTTATCTAAATATCTTAATGATTTTCAAAAGCATTGTCCCATTTCAGATGGTGATTCCAAAATGTGCTAGATTTGGGTACATCTAAACTAGCCCTAAGCATTGTTGGGTGTGTGTGGCCATTAAAAGCCAATGAGTGCTTTTAAATGAACTTATTGGTATAATACAACATGAACTCAATGAGAGTGTGGTCTTGTGTGGACCATACTAAGCAAACAATGTTTGTTTATATTGGATTGAGTTTTACGAGCTAGGCTAGTCTGGTTGGGAAAAGCTCATGTTACTTGGGCATAGAGATTAAACCGATAAAAATTATAATGGGTCATCTCTTGATGATGTCGGAATATGCCCAGAAGAGTGAGCCGAGGGACTATGTGGCCCTTGTGTGTGATGGAGGCCATCAGAGACAGGGCCAAAGCCTCATTCGCATACCATCACATGGCATGCACAATGATAACCATTTTTGGGAAAACGAACCACCTTTCATGAAGCTTGTGTATGTGTGAGAGATAACCCCTGCGCACTATAGAGCAATAGATTGCATCAGGTTTAAGTGACATTAGTTTCGTCTCTATAGGAGAACCTAGAATCCATAGACTGAGACTATAACCCCTTGCCCATTGGCTAGACTTTGGTGACCCACTAATGAGGCCCTACATGGACTGTGGGTCATGGGCAACATTGACTCGGTTTAATAAAGCAAGTGTGGACCGTGGTGCACAGAGAAAGTGTAGTGCCCCAGTGCATATTTATTTCTAGATCATATGGATCATTTTCCCATCAAAGCATTTAATTATATTTGTTTGAATGTTATATGATTTTTAGAATTGTTAGTTGAATTTTTTTAAATGACTGGATATTATCTTTTTCAAATTTGGATTTGTAAAAATAGAAATATTGATTTTACATTGATTTAATTATTCAAATATGATTTATGAATTTCTAAAATCATAATATTATTTTTAATATTTTTTATATTTCATGGGAGGCCCAATAAGATATATGAGCCCATCATGTCAACTGGGTGGGGCTCATAGAATGCCACCTAGTGTGGCACGCCCCACTTTGAAGCGCCTTCTAATTTTGTGAAATCAAGCTCATGGCTTGAGAGAAAATATATTTGTGTTTTGGAAAGCTTGTGCTTTGAGGAAGCTTTAAATCAAACTTTGGTATGTGCTAGAACCCTTGTGTATCAAATAAGAAAGTACAATATAATAATATATTAGATCTTGATGGCCTATCTATAGAATGGAAAGCTCATATCTCTCACCCCATAAGTCACCCAAGATCAATTGTGCATATTTAATCTCACAAGAAGAGACAACCCCTGGAAAACCCTAAGACACCTTAAAACCCCTTGAAGCACTATAAAAAAGGGATGGGCCCTATCCAATTTACTCTATACCATATCTGTTTTCTCTCTCTTCTGGAAAGCTCTCTATCTTATAAGCCCATGTAGGGGGCATGCCCCTCTCTTAGAAACTCTCACTCTCTCTCTCTTGGAAACTTTCTCTCTCTCTCTTGCTTTTGCTAAACAAAGGGGCACACCCCACTCTTGGTCTCTTGGATCTCTCTCTCCCATCTTATGATATGAAGCTAAGGGTTTAGGGTGTAATAAAAGAGATGACATCTTTCTCAACTAGGTTATCAACGGGTTTTACCTAAGCTTGAGATTTGAAAAACAAGTTTTTGTTCCAATGGAGTGTTTTGGCCTAAATTGCTTTCTTGATATTGAGGTTGATGGTTGACCATTGATCCCACGCTATCGAAAGATGGTGACTTGGTGTGTGGTGCAAGAAGCCTAGTTGAGGTAATATCCGACACTTTTTTTTACTTCTTGCATATTTATTTATTGTGTCTTTTATTATTCCCAAGCATAGTTTGTGCTTTTCTTTTGGTTATTGAAAGAAAGGTTTTATATGGCATCAAGTTTTGAGATCCTAGATTTATTTATTTTATTTGAATTTGATTTATTGTAAAAGGATTATTTGCGAGTAATCTAAGCCGTGAAGAAAAGAAA